TTCCTAAACTTTTCGAGGCAATTGTCAACGAAAAATTATTTCTCCAAATCAAAAATAGAATTACTGACATGCAACACGGCTTTTTCAAGGGTCGCTCGATCTCGACAAATTTACTTGAATTTATAGACTATTCATTGAATGCAATGGATAATGGAAACCACGTAGAAGCTCTCTATACAGACTTTAGCAAGGCATTTGACCGCATAGACATACCAATGCTACTTTTTAAATTGCAAAAAATTGGAATTGAGTCAGGGCTCCTAAAATGGCTTGAATCATATTTAACTAACCGCCAACAAATAATTAAATTCAACGGAAAGAAATCGAGTCCAATTCAAGTCACTTCAGGCGTCCCCCAAGGCTCTCATTTGGGACCTCTTCTTTTTATTCTATACGTAAACGACATTTCTTTCATTCTCAAAAAACTTAAATGTGTTATTTATGCCGACGACATGAAGCTCTTTTTAGAAATAAGAAATGAAGAAGACATCAATATATTCCGGAATGAAATACACATATTCTACATATGGTGCAAAAAAAGTCTACTAGAATTGAATGTAAAAAAATGTAACTTAATATCATTTAGCAGGAAAAGAACAACTTCAAATATTTCAATTGCACTAGGAAATCAAAATATAGAAAAATGTGAAAGAGTTAGGGATTTAGGAATTATCTTAGACTCTAAACTAACTTTCATAGACCATTACAACACAATTATTCACAGGGCAAATAACATGCTAGGCTTTATCAAGCGCTTTTGTTATAACTTTCAGGACCCATACACAATTAATACACTATATATCGCCTATGTGAGGTCAATACTGGAATATTGCAGCATTGTATGGTCTCCTTGTTCAATCACGCACGAAGAAAGATTAGAATCCGTACAAAAACAATTTCTATTATACGCTCTTCGTAAATTAGGTTGGACATCATTTCCTTTTCCATCATATGAAGCACGCTGCATGTTTATAAACATACAAACATTAAAAGAGCGTCGTGAATATGCAATGGTTTCATTTGTAAACGATATCGTTTCGCAACGCATTGACTCCACAGAACTTTTATCAAAATTAAATTTCCATGCACCCACTCGGCAACTCCGAAATCGAAATTTATTTGCCATAAAACATCATCGTACAAATTATGCAAAATATGGGCCATTAAACCGCATGATGGCCTCTTACAATCAATACTGCGAAACCATTGACTTTACAATGTCTCGGCATAAACTAAAACAATATTTTTACTCCATAAGGCATTATAACTCATAAAAAATAGGAAAGCTGACACTGCTTAATTTTTATTAAAGAAAAAATTATACTCTTAACCTTTTGTCCAAAGTTGACGAAATAAATAAATAAATTTAAGAAAACAAAACTGTATTCTAATATGTACTAGTCTACGTTGGTTGACGAAATAAATAAATAAATAAATAAATAAATAAATAAATAAATAAATAAATAAATAAATAAATAATGATATATATATATAAAAAAAAAAAAAAAAATTGTAGTTTTGTACAATATTTGGAAACACCATTTGTATGAGTTCAGCCTTCGACGTAGTCAATCGGCAAAAATGTGTTGGAAATGAAATAAGGCCGGTGGAAATGTCAACAGGTATGTTTCCGTTACCAATATTCAGCAATTGCTTTGAAAATATTTGATCTTGGAATAACCGGCAAAGTTTCCCGAAAATCGCCGGCCAGTAGAATTAATCCACCACTAAATGGAAGTGGATTGTTGCGCAAATCCTGCATTGTTCTATCTAAGGCCTCCAGTGATTTTTCGTGTGCCATTGTACATTCGTCCCATACGATCAATTTTCAATTCTGCAAAACATTCGCCATAACACAGTTTTTGTAGATGTTGCAGGTTGGATTTTCATTGATCTGCATATTCAACGGCAACTTGAGAGCGGAGTGAGCTGTTCGACCTCCCTCCAATAAAGTCGCTGCAATGCCGGATGATGCAAGTGCCATTGCAATTTGGTCTTGTGAACGAATCGATGCCAAAATCAACGAAATCAAGAATGTTTTTCCAGTTCCTGCGGGTGCATCTAATAAATAAATGCCTCCAGTTTCAAGTGTAAAACGGTTGGATGTCGTTCATGTATGGCGAAGGAAAAAAATCTCCAAATCGCTTCGTTGCTGCTCACATAACGGCCCAGTTGGTATTGTGTGACTTCATCGTTTGAATTTTCCGTACTAGCTCCGAACACCACCTTGTCACTGCCTTTATTGACGTACTTACAAATGTACTTGATAGCGGCGCCGGTGGTGTAGTGGTAAGCGTGATTACCTCTCACCCCAGCAGGCCTGGGTTCAATCCCAGTCGGCGACGCCGGGATGTTCTGAGGCATAACATCTCTGATCAGAGAAGTAAAGCCGTGTTGGTCCCCGGTTCATGAGTTTGATGTGATGGGTCGACAGGTTGGGTCCAGGTGTATGAGCTGCTTCCCTGGCGTCGGTAGCATTGGTGCTCAGCACGGAAAACAAGATTGACGGACAACAAATCAATAAAAAAAATGTACCTAATGGATTTGACTGAGTTACAATGCTCAACGTTAATATGTGCATTGAATGTTTTTGACAGTAGCGGCGAGTACGGCACAATCCAACGATTATCGATCTCAATTTTCTGTTGATTTACTTTAACGATTGCTGTTTGTCCGCTGTCTGCAGTAGATCGACGACGATACAGTGGATATCCATCATTACCAGTAATAGTCTCTGCCAGCAATGCCCGTGGATATCTTTTCGAACATTTTCCCTCAACCATTCATGGCGACTCCTTGTTCAATCCATATCAATCATATTCTTTGTTACAACTTCGAATAATCCGAGATCCATTTGAGGATCGGGAATTTCTGCACAGATGACGTCATCGATATCATTTGGCTTATTTTTTCAACCAACCAAATTAGAATGTGAGCATGTGGTAATCCTCGTTTTTCCACTGAGTACACCCAACACACCGCGTTTCGCCGGAATCGTGATGTTTAACGATGTAATCCTTTAGCGATTTCAATTTTTGTTTGAAGACTCGTGCGGTTACGTCGTGCCGATCAACTGGCGATTGGCCAGGGACCAATTCATGTCGTATCTCTGCCCACTGTGGGTTACAGGTGAATGCTACGAATAAATCGGGTCGTCCGTAATGGCGTACATATGACATGGCATCTTGCGCATATTCATGCATTTGTCGCGGACTCCCAACGTACGTTGCAGGAAGTATCGTCAATCGACCGACATTGTTCGCGTTTCCGTCTGCGTTGATAGCATCTCGGAGGTGAAGGTATTCTTCGGATCGCAGTTTTTTTTTTCTGATTCAGGCGTATGAATGGTAATCGCTCAGTTTCAACTTTAAACATATATGTCGACAGCATACTGATGGAACAGTCTGCGACACTTTAAAATATGACTTTGTCGGCTTTTATAACAATTTTGTGGTCATCGGATGGCATGTGATCCAAAGAGGTCTTAAACAATCTTACCAATTCATTGTGCTGATGTAGCATGTTTTGAAGTTGTTCTACAATCATCCTTTTCACCGAAGGATTATGTGCACAACGCTGATCGACTTCTTCGCAAGAATTTCCTATAAAATAAATTTGTAACATTGGTGGTCCGCTTCGGGTAAGGGCAACAACGCACCCACCCGATGATAAATTTGTCCTTGAATTTGTTAAATTTGGTTGAAACGATATTATCTCAGGTGGGGGATACAAAACTGGTAATCTAATTTGTCCATTCGCACAACACAGCCCTTGAGTTTCTTTTGGATATTTCAAGGCTTTACAATGATGGCATACAGTAGTCATTGAACCGATGGCACCATAATCAACCGATGGCACCATAATCAACCGATGGATGGTAACGAAATGCCAAGCGACTGTTCATTAGTTGAGCTCTGCTGCCTACGTCCCTGATGGTGCTCGCCGCCTGATTGACTAACAGTCCTGCGATCTTGTTATATTCTCAATATAGCTACCTTATTTGACGCTTCCCTGACTGTTGGAACCTGTGACGACCGTGCTTAAGCGTTACGGCGTCGTGTGGCCTCGTTCATTTGTAGCTGCTGTTCCGCATCTTGGCTTTCTGTTGGCTCGCATTGCATGTATAACGGCCAATGTTCGCACGTTTCACTTCGGGCATCGTTGGTATACGACGGCAGAACTAAAAGCAATGAAAATTGTGAATTTAACCTCGCAAAAACCTGGAAAGACTTCAGAAGAAATTGAACTTAACACTTGAGGTTAAATAGGTCCACTTCTATCACAGCCGGTATGCTTAGAACACTGCTGAAACTGAATTTCGGCACAAATCACTTGATTATTTATAGTACCTCGTAAATTGCAAAATTCTAGCAGATTTTTTTCACATATTAATGTTTGGACAGGCCACTTTCAAATAGAAACATTGAATCTAAACGTCGGCGATCGATTGTGAATGACAGTAGCTGACGCGGTCGCGGTTTCGTATATTAGCGACACCGCCTCCTAGATCAAAGTGGATTCAAAAGCGTTGGATCCTTATGCGGCCCACGGCATTTCTGGGATTCGCGGGTTTTGAATGTTCATTATTTACGGCAAAATGTTCAGTTTAATGTCAGTATACACACCAAATTTTTATCGCTGGAAATCAGCAATTTTTTGCTGAATTTTGCCGAGCTGAAATTTCAGTAATCATTTCAGCAATATAAAATTACTGAAATTTTCAGCAATGTGAAATGTCATTCTGCTTGACAGAGGTTTACTGAATTTTCAGCATATTTAATAGATTTGCTGAAAATCCAGTTATTCGGCAATCGCATAATTTGACAGCACTTTGCTGAAATAATTCAGCAATATTTATCATTGTACTGAAAAATCAGCTTTTTAGTTTTAATCATACTGGTTCATTCAAAACAACATTAATTTCGGTTTATTTGAATCATTTTCATTTATTTAAACAAATTAAATTTAGTTTCATACCGTATAATCATTTCAGCATTTTGTTAGTTGAGCTGAAAGATAAAGTTGTTAACAGTTGTCGTCATATTATCCACGGTCAAAACGGCTCCAACGAAAAAATTGTAAAAATTTGCAAGAGACGGTTCAAACTTGAATTTGAAAATGAAGTATGTTTGAACCAAAAGCAAAAATGCTCGGCGAATATCACAACCTGCCGAAAACACACGTTTGTTCAAACGAATGTATGTTGCTCCTTCCTCATACTGTGGTGCCTTGACGATTAATATCGGTAGCTTGGTCTTAGTATAGCCAGAAGCGAATTGCTCGACGTCGTCTTCGGGCTGAAAAAGGTCATTAGTATTATTTGCAAATTAGGATAAGTTTTCAAATTAGTGATTACTCATACATTGATCCATTCGATGATATGATCCAAGTGATTTGTGATCTTTTGTGGTCCTTGAATTGCGCGCTTAGCCCCACGAGTTGGATTTTTGTCCTTTACGATAACAAGTGTTCGAATAAATTCTGTAATTCACAAATACATAATCAAAAATGTATCCATTTTCACAGCAAATTTACTCACGGGATTTGATATATGAATGCAAGCTGTGGTGTTTTGCCAGTATTTTTGGCTGCAAAATTTCCCAGGTTTCATTGAAGTCGCCAGCATTAGGAAACATCACTTCGAAATCCACTGAGATCTATAACCGAAAAATTTGTAAGTAATTAGAATGAAACGGCTAGTTTTAACCAGTTTTGCATCATCACCATTATCTCTGATGATCTTCCTGGCGCCAAACGTTTGTCCCCAATCGTTTTTAATTACTTCCAGAGATGCGTCAGTTGGGACAATGTACTTCAGCCTTTCAATCTGGAATATGAATAGTCCTATTATTTTTTTTTTTTTTTTGTTAATTACTTTATTTGTACAGGCTCAATCGAATAAACTTTACAGAGCCAAGTTATCATTTTGTTTATATATTATAAATGTCTTAAATCTAAAATTAAAGGATTGGAACCGATTGCTCGCGGTCTTCTCGAGGTTAGTGGATGACAATTGTTTGGATCGGGAGAGGGAAAAGGAGATTTGGAATATGATTTATGATTCAAAAATTTCACTATTTCTAAAACATATACTTAATCCTATCGACGTTATATCAACTCTGTAATTATACAATTATTACAGAAACAAATCTACAAAAAAAAAACACACACACATACAAAACACAAACTAAACACAAGGTTAATCAAACTTACAATCTATGGTTAATATTCTTCAAGAAAACATATATGAGTTGCATAAACTCCAGATCGCGTCTAGCCAAAATATCCCGAACTGGAACATTAGGTTGTCTACCTCGAGCCCGAAGGGAATCGTACAACTCGGATCTGACTCCACGGTGCTCAGCACATGACCAAATAATGTGATCTGCGTCCTGGTAACCTTGTCCACATTCACAGAGATTGCTGTCTCCCAGCCCAACACGGAACAAGTGAGCGTTTAACGAGTAGTGATTGGACATGAGGCGAGACATCATACGAATGAAGTCTCGACCCACATCCAACCCCTTGAACCAAGGACACTTCGACACCTTAGGGATGATTGAATATAACCATCGTCCCAAACTCCCTTCACTCCATTTATTTTGCCAGCTGGCGAGTGACTGTTGACGATAAATGAAGAAAAATTCGTCGTAGGCGATTTGTCGATCGTAAATATCGCCTTCCATAGCGCCCACCTTAGCAAGTGAGTCAGCCATCTCATTGCCCGGAATCGAGCAATGAGATGGGACCCATGCAAAGGTGATGACAAAAGATCTTAAAGATAAAGCACTTAGAATCTCTCGTATTTTCATGAGAAAATACGAGGAGTGCTTTACCGGCCTCATGGAGCGAATACTGAGACTATCCGTAAAAATAAAATAATGCTCTGGTGCAAGTGAGGCGATCGTTTCTAGCGTATAATGTATTGCCGCCAGCTCCGCAACATATACGGAACAAGGAGCATGAAGCATTCGAGAGGCGCTATGAAATTCGTTATAAATACCAAAACCAGCGGACGCCTCTATTAGTGATCCATCTGTAAAGAACGATCTTGCGGAATCAACTTGGCCAAACTTTGCAGCGAAAATTGACGGAGCAATCATGGAACGATGATGCTCTGGGATTCCGCGAATCTCTTGCGTCATTGATAAATCAAAATGAACAGAACTGTCGAAGTCGGAGAAGCATACACGATAGGGATTATGCTGCGAAGGGCTGACATCCTGTGTTATGTACACGTAGTACAATGACATAAAACGAGTTTGAGGGTTTAGCTCAAGAAGCTTCTCAAAGTTTGCAATCACCAGTGGGTTCATAATTTCACAACGGGTGAGGAGCCTGAGGGATAATTCCGAAAATCGATCAGAGAGTGGCAACATGCCCGCTAACACTTCGAGACTCATCGTATGAGTCGAGTGCATGCATCCTAACGCGATACGAAGACAGCGATACTGGATCCGTTCCAGTTTGATGATGTGCGTTTTAGCCGCCGACTGGAAACAAAAACTACCGTACTCTAAAACCGATAAAATCGTTGTCCGGTACAACGTTAGAAGATCTTGCGGATGGGCTCCCCACCACGTTCCGGTAATTGTTCGGAGAAAATTGATCCTTTGTTGGCATTTCCGCTTCAGATACTCAATGTGGGATCTCCAGGTGCATTTTGAATCGAACCAGACCCCAAGATATTTGAAGGACATAGAATGAGTGATCGGTTTACCCAAAAGTTGAAGCTTTGGTTGTGCTGGGCTATGCTTCCTAGAAAAAACGACCAACTCAGTTTTCTCCGTGGAGAATTCGATACCTAGCTGGATAGCCCAAGTAGACAAATTGTCTAAGGTATCCTGTAAGGGTCCTTGCAGGTCGACCCCTTTGGGCCCTGTCATAGACACTACGCCGTCATCTGCAAGTTGTCTCAACGTGCAGTTGTCACTTAGACAATTGTCAATTTCTCTGACGTAGAAATTATACAGAAGGGGGCTTAAACATGAGCCCTGGGGGAGACCCATGTAGCTAAATCGTGAAGCTGTAGAGTTTCCATGAGAAAAGCTCATATGTTTCTCTGACAGCAAATTGTACAAAAAGTTATTAATTAAAGGAGAAAGGCCACAAGCGTGGAGTTTTTCTGAAAGGACTTCAACCGATACTGAATCAAAAGCCCCCTTAATATCCAAGAAGACAGAAGCCATTTGCTCTTTATTAGCAAAAGCCAACTGAATTTCAGTGGAAAGCAACGCGAGACAGTCGTTCGCTCCCTTGCCCCTACGGAAACCAAATTGAGTATCTGAGAGTAGGTGGTTCAACTCAACCCATTTGTCCAGGCGAAAAAGGATCATTTTCTCCAACAATTTTCGAATACACGATAACATCGCAATGGGACGATACGAATTGTGATCTGACGCGGGTTTTCCAGGCTTTTTAATGGCTATAACTCTCACCCGCCTCCAATCATCCGGAACAATATTAAGCTCCAGGAACTGACCAAACAAGTTCAACATGCGCCCCTTAGCGACGTCTGGGAGGTTCTTCAACAAGTTGAACTTGATTCTATCAGCCCCCGGAGCCGAATTGCCACACGAAAGGAGCGCGAGTGAGAGCTCCAGCATTGAAAAAGGCTGGCTGATCTCGTCTACCGAATTCGTCGTTTCGCGAGGAATCATCTGTGCCGGCACAGAATCAGGACATACTTTTCGCGCGAACTTGAGAATCCAACTATCGGAGTACTCCTCGCTCTCGTTGTTTGAAGACCGGTTACGCATCCTTCGCGCCGCATTCCAAAGCGTATTCATCGACGTTTCGCGCGATAATCCGTCCACGAATTGCCGCCAGTATCCGCGTTTCTTGGCTTTGATGAGGCTCTTGAGTTCGCGTTCAAAAGCCGAGTACGCTTCGAAATGTACGGGTGTTCCACGTTTCCGGAAAAGCTTAAACGCGTCGGACTTTTTACGATAAACCTCAGTGCATTGCTGGTCCCACCAAGGGGAAGGAGGTTTCCTACGGAAAGACGTTCCTGGAACCGGCCGAGTTTGAGCTTGAAGCGCGCTGTCCAAGATCAGATTGGAGAGGAAGTTATATTCCTCCAACGGTGGAAGCCCTTCTACCGACGTTAGGGCATCTTCTATCACATTCTTGAACTTTGTCCAATCGATATTACGGGTAAGATCGTACGCGACGTTAACGGGTTCCGACGGATTGAACCCACTGGCAACTGAAACTTTGATCGGCAAGTGATCACTACCGTGGGGATCTTGGATCACATTCCACGTGCAATCCAACGATAATGAGTTAGAGCAAAGTGTGAGGTCTAATCTACTTCCATTCGAGGATGGGCCAGCCAAACGTGTTACTTCTCCATTGTTAAGAATTGTCATATTAAAGTTGTCGCAGAGGTCATATATCAAAGTAGAACGGTTGTCATCATACAGTTCCCCCCAGCCTGTACCGTGGGAATTAAAATCTCCCATAATCAACCGTGGAGCAGGAAGTACCGAACAGATATCTGAAAGTTGTTTGCGATTAACAACGGCTCTAGGAGGAATATAAACAGAAGCAATACAAAGGCTCTTACCTTTAATAATAGCCTGACATGCAACAACTTCAATACCTGGAAATTGTGGAAGATTCACTCTATAGAAGGAATGGCACTTTTTGATCCCCAAAAGTACCCCTCCTCCACGCGAATCCTCACGATCCAGTCGAATAATGTTAAAATCATAAAAAGGAAGATCGATATCTGAAGAGAGCCAAGTTTCACAAACAGCAAATGCATCACAATCATTATTGTGAATTAAAAACTTAACAGAATCTAATTTAGGAATGAGACTTCGACAATTCCACTGTAGAACAGTGATCAAATCCCCGACCTCGTTTGGAAAATTATCCATCGAAGGAAATGATTGCTGCAATGAGGGGCCATTTCAATGTCAATTGCTTCAAGAGGGTCTTCACAGAAGGAAGCATTGCCAGAACAATGCTTTTGAGAGGATCAGAAATATTGAGGTACTTGAGAATATCGTCCACAATTTTATCAAATGAGAACAACCCGGATGAAGAAGGGGCTTCTGTTCTTAAAAATGGGCCATCAGGGGTTTTTGATGTCCCCGGGAGAGATGGAAAATTTTGGTTATAATCAGTTCTGCGGAAACCAGGAGGAGTTGAAACTTCCTTTTTTCCATCACTCCTTGATTTGGGCAAGCTGATTTGGGGTTCCTTATCTGCAACTTTCCGCGAACGGATGCGTTTTCGTTTCCGTGCAGAACCTTCCGGAAAACTGAAAGAAACTCCCTCCTCAGCCAAGTCAGAGTCAGACTCGTCATCAGACAAAACAGCAAAGGGATTTTTGTCGTTGGTTGATGGTGTGGCTGTTTTTAGCATTGCTGCAAAAGACTGCCTGGAACGCTCCTTAAGAGAGCGTTCTAGTTTCTCCCCGCGTTGTTTGTACGCCGGGCACGATGAGAGACCATGAGGAGTTCCCTTACAGTACACGCATTTTGGTGCAGTGACTGTGCAGGCGCCATCCTCGTGCTTCTCCCCGCATTTGGAACAGCGTGCATTGCTGCCACAGTGAGAGGCCGTATGTCCCAACTGTTTGCAGTTTTGGCAGTTCATGACCCGAGGAACAAACAAACGCACAGGTAGCCGAAGTTTTCCCAACTCGATGTAGTGAGGAAGGGCTGAACCAGAAAAGGTCACCCGAAACGAGTCTGTGGGGGTAAAGCTCTTTTTACCCTCGCTGAAAGATACTGAGTTCAGCTTCTGGACTTCCAGTATCTCAACCGTGGGAAGCAAGGGGTTCTTGAAACGGCCAACCGCTTGCTTCGCCAAGATCTCGGGGGTCAGACTCGCTTCGGTGACCACACCTTCGATCTCCACATTACGAGCTGGGATGTACACTCTATACTCGAGTGTAAAGAGCTGGGAGGCAGCAATCTCGTTAGCTTGTTTCAGGTTAGAGACGACAACGCGAAGTTTATTGTACCTCACCTTCGAGATTTCGGTCACGGCCGAGAACCGCTTCGTCAGATCATTAGTAATTTGCATTACATTCAAAGGTTTCTTTTTGGGCTGAAAGTAAACAACCCATGGGCCAGTCGAGTCTTCTGGGTAGGCTCGCGATCGGGGGCTTATCTGTCCCTGTCCATTACCAGACTGAGATGACGAAGCAGGGATGGCATCATCTGATTTCTTTGATGACAGACGTTTTCGACCCTTCTTGTTATCGCGTGGCAAAGTGGTGTCGTCTTCCGACAAAACGTCCATTTCGTCTTCCGACAAAATGTCCATTTTGCCGTACTAGTGGGAGCGAAAAACGCTCTACCACTGCAACGATAATCAAAATTACTCGGACACAATACACGAAGAAAAAAAAAATACTAACACAGAAACACAAACTTAAAATTTAACAGATGGGAGAAAGAAAGAAACAAGAACAAAAACTTATCTGATAATCCTATACTACTATCACCGAGCGTTTACACAGCAGCAGCGGAGCGACGCGCAGCTTGGATGATCTTCGATCCGCGTGTGCGGGCGGTCTCCGTTGGTGTGTGCTTGTTTGAAGCTCGGCACTCAGCTGAACACACGATGATGGATGAGCGGTTTGAATGTGGAGACAGATGCTGACACTCGATGACGATGATCCGTGTGCACAGGTATGCGTGACCACGCACCGATGGTGCGCAAAATGATTGGCGAATTGCCAATCGCAAAAACAATTTTCGATGATCCCGAAAACACACTTTCTTCTCAGAAAAAAACTCACTTTTTGATAAATTTATCCGGAATTATGCCAGGAATAACTAAGCGAGAAAAACTGATTATTTACGTCAGATAATAGCGAGAAAACTTCCAAGCGCGAAACAAGTCGACCGTACTTCTTGCTAGGACGCGGTGGTGTGAGTCCTATTATTTTGAATAATTTAATTAATAGTGTTATATTATTTCAGGCGTTTTATGTCCAAATAGGAAAGGAAACACCCTCAGCAATAACAAATGTTGTGATGCCGTTTGCCTCATTCTATGGGTGTTCGGTTGAAGTAGCATTTGTGCAGTTATGTTTGAAGATGGCTTATTTTTTCGATCTCGATATCCATAACAGAATGTTTTGATACGATGATTGATGTAGTCGATATTGAATCCAAGTTTCTTGTTGCGGTAGTAACATGACAAGACAAGCTGAACTGTGACTGGAATCACCCCCTCAGCCAAGTCGTGCATCACATCAAAAGCATGGTTTTCCGTTACGTGAAATGTCGTTAGTTCGTTTAAAATACATCCCGTTACTTTTAATCCACAATCCGTTGCAGTTATTTCCTTCTTCCTCAGTTTGTCCAGATTCAGATTGTACCAATGTTTGTCCTTGAGAGGAAAACTGTGCTCAAACGGATTATTTTTAAAGTGATTTCGAGTGATCGTGCATTCTCGGCAGAATAGACTGGCAGATGGTCCTAATAACCCAAATAGATCGTGGACTGCTAGTGTGTCCCCAGCAGTGCTGAGATTTGTCATTGTCATTGACAGACTTTTGCGCGATATTGACAAAATTGTTTTTCACATAGTCAATGATAGACTTGACCCTCAAAAAAATCTTTGTCAAAATCTCATTCATTTTTTCGTCAATGACAAAGATTCACCTGGTAACAGAAAGGGTAATTTCTTGCATTCTGAGTCACATTATTGTTATCCAAGCTGTTCAGGTCGTAGATGCTTGTTCACTTTAATGGCTCCATGTAATTGTTTTCCTCAAGCCATTTAATTTCATTTTAAATTTAGCTTATAAACAAATCAGCACATGTTCGTCACTGACAAAAATGCCTCTGACAATTGACATGGTTTACCTTGACGATTACTGTTAGCTCAAACGAGTGACCAAAGCAGAATTTTGAGTGTCACCGTGTATTGTCGAAATTGTGCAGCACTGGTCCCCAGTCAATGCAATTACAACTGCTTTAATGATGTACTTCTCAGATCCAAAGAACACTGGAACTCCTTTTTCCAATCGCTTCAGATCACCTACGAGTGGAGCCAAGATCCTACTGTAGCCATGTCGCTTGGCATCGGTCGATTTCGCGTAGATCAAGGGGAACACGGCTTTTTTCGATGAATTGAATTGGGTTGGTATGTTCTGAATCTTAAAGTACATTGCAGCAATCTTGTTGTTTCCAGCTCTGGAACTCAGTGTGTTGCGAGGGGGACGACTCTATCTACGATGCAGAAAATATTGTGTTTTGCTGTGGTTAGCTGCGCGTACGCTGAGTAGATAGCACGAAGATTTATCACAATTTTTAAGATTTCCTGCAAAAAAATGATGCGCGATGCAAGTAGATGCGAGAAATGAAAGAAGATTTTTCGAAGATTTATTCGCTAGTGTGAGATTTTTTGAGCATCTAGAATCGAGATTTAGATGTGTCGCCCCCCTCGGTGTGTTGCACGGTTCAGCATCGTCATCGTACAAAATTATTATCAGTGCGTCAGGATTCTCCTGGAAATAGAGGCTGTTCTCGAAGCACTGCCCACTTGTATACGAATAGTATACTTTAGGATTTAATTTATCTGCCACTTCTGCTATACATCCATTAGACGATAACATAAGCCGGTTTTGTTCGTCCTGCAAGAACATCTTCAGTGACTCAATGATGGGCACGTACTGGAAAGTTTCACTGACCTGACGAAAACATTATTTACATAATTTAATACAAAATACACGTAAATTTCAAAATGTCTACCTTGATATTCTGCTCCTGTGCGTTTTTGAAATGTTTTGCTTCCTGAGAACGCAACATGATTGATCTTGGCTCTGGAATTGAGCCAACTGCTTTCTTTAAAAACTGCTCTTGTCGCTTACAGCTTTTAACTTCTTCAAAAAGATTAACAACAGAAACGTCATTTTTGAGTTTTACGATGTCCTCAGAGGGGAATTGCGTTTTTAAAGATCTTATAAATGAATCTATCCGCTGCGACACAAGCATGTTAATTTGCTCAACAACGCTTTTGCAGAAGTCCACAGCTTTCACAATCTTGGCCTGTGTGAATGAGACATCTGCTCGAAGCTTGCACACAGCAACCGATGCAAACTTTCGAAGAGATTCGATCGAAGTGTCACCTAGTTCCTCATCAACCAGGTTTGCGCTTTCAGCGCCCATAATGGGTGCGATGTTCTCCTCAGTGCAACTGGAATTGTCTGGCTATAAATGATCGAACTGTTGGTGGTATTGCTTATGCTGCTGCTGGTGGTGGAAATCTGGTGCCGTTATCGGATGCTTTTTGATTATATGCTGCTTCAGACTACTGAACTTCCGGTAGCTCATCCTGCAACCTTTTTTAGTGCATGTGAAGTGCACAAGCTCCTTATTAAAATGATGTTTATTCTCGTGCACTTTTAGGTGTCGTCGAAGTCCATCAGTATATCCCTCAACCAACTGATGGCAGTAGAAACACTTCAAAATGTCTGCCATTGCTCTCGAGGCTGAAGAAAACACAAGATTATATTTAACCATTTTACTTACCAAACAATTCCTCCACATCACAACGGTCAGCTTTCAGATTCAGCAGAGCTTCCTGAACTTCCGGATCCATGACGCACTTAGTTTGTTGCAGAATAATTAAAAAACCACATTTTTTTTTCTTCTTATTTTGACAGAGTGACAGACGTAGTAAAGTTGCTGGTTTTCAGTAAAAACGAACCAAATTGCTGATTTTCAGTAAAATCGTAGATTGCTGATTGCTTTTCAGTAAACCATTTTGCTGAAATCTTTGATCAACTTTTGGTGTGTATGATTATAAAAATCATTTTAAACAATAGTGCTCATATAAATAAACTTCCTAAATGTAACCGTTTTCGAGATAAAGTTTGTCCATCCTAGAGTTGTTTTCAAAACTTTTGTTTTCTATTCAAGTTTTTATAAAAAAAATATTAAAAAAAAATCAAAAATAAGTTTTTTTTTGTTATTTGAATTTAGAGGTTTATATTTAGTTTTTTTTTTGTAAAAAAACGAAAAAAAAATCTGTGTATATTTTTTTTATAAAGCCTTTTTCTACAACCAACTGTTTTCGAACTACATTTTTTTTAAAGTATGTGTGCATAGGCCCTTTTCAAAAAATACCCTAGAGTCAAAAGAGTCTCCTCTCCTGCGGAAAATACTTGGTCTATCATACTGAAAATATGGGCAAAGTATCATCCAAATCGAAGATGGTCGAGCATGATTTCAGGTTTTTTCAGCTCATTCTGGGTGGAATCCCTCATCTACAAAAGCTATGTATATTTCTGCTCTCAACCGAATTATGTATGATTTGCCTACAATTATGAGGGATTCATCATCGCAGAATTACTTGCTGGTATAGTCGATAGCCCAGACATAACACGAAATAAAATAAGATAAAACTCATAACATCGTCTGAATGGTCAATTTATATCATTTGCTGCGGAGGATGATAGAAAATGCAACTAACATTCAATGTCATAGGGGAAATGGATCTAAGATTGGGCCCATCGCTTAAAAGCTGGTATTTATCATTTTCTTTTTTTCTCGAACACTAAACATGGAACGTGATCACCAATCATAGTCTTTTTCGTCATTGCCTCTCTGCTATACCTCAGCGATATTTTTCACTCATATTTCAAAAGCTACAGTGATTTGAAGGTGTCCGTTTAATGTAGATACAGACCTTAAATATTAACCGAGGGGTGCTCACCAAGTGGTAAAGTTGTGGTGCTGACATGTGAAGACATATTTCCGATCACACTGAAGACTTTTTTCACATGGCGTACGGCACTAGCATCAACTCAACCTTGTTGTACAACCAGATTGTAGTAAGAACTGGCCCCATTATGAGCTGTTTACACTTAGGCTAGTTCACTAGCTCCAGCAGCTCAACAAACTAGCGTGAATTTCAGTTGTTCCTGAAGTATCATGCTGGTAAATAGATGCTGACGACCTTTTTACATTATGCTAAATAATTTTGATATCACATCAAAGTGGATGATCAATCGTGTCGAAAATATTGTGTAATATTACTTTCCAAAATGAACAAAATAATCATTATTTAATACAGTGCATGAACTGATATCACTGCATTTGTTTATTATTGTGGCCATAAAAAATTACACGAGATTTTCGACATGATTGAAGTGCATCCTCTTGGATGTTATTTAAATTTATTTGTTGCTGTGTAGCGCTAGTGAACCAGCGAATATGTAAACACCCCATTAGTGATCCATGTGTAGAGCTACTCGCTGTTGGTATGGTAGGCACGCAAGTGACCTTCACTGCTTAAAAATCATGCTAGTTATCCTGATTGCAGTAGCAATTGAAAACGTTCACCGTGCATCCAACCTGCAGGAATTGATTTCCAATTAGCCAAGGTACCATTGTATGACCGAAGGGAAAACAAAGATTTTTCCCACTTCATCGTAATCTTGTTCGGAATGTTCTCCGGCAATAAGCAATCATTGAAATCCTTCCCGTCGACTCAAAGCGGGAACGCGAGATAGAGAGATAGAGCAGGAGAGAGAGAGAAAAAAGAAACCCCTTAGCTATTCATAAGACCATTCAACAACGGGTCCACGCAGCACCTGTCCATTTATACGACTTGGGCCAGACCAGAAGACCGTCAGCATCGTCGGGATCACGAAGACTCTTACTTAGCATCTCGGGCTCCATCTTCGCTAAGGGACGGACAACAAAACAACAAACGATCAGCCGGTTTTTCCATTTTCACATTCTCCTTATCGGCCATATTCGCGCGCTTCTCTCAGTAGTGGCTGTGTTTTTCCAACCTCTCCGTCATTGGGAAACAAAAACAACCATTTCAATTATGCTACATAATCAACCGATCGGGCAAATCTCCCTGGAGGTGCCAGCTTCTCGGGCTCGGCCGGTCGAGAGGTCGCTTGCTTCTTTCCGAGTGGTTTTTTTGCATAGCTTCAGGCAAAGTAAAGCTACCCCAGCCCGATCCACAACCGACGACGATGACGGAAGACGAAAGGATAAGGACCAGGCAAGGAAATCACTCAACCGAAAGAATGATGGAGGTCGTTGCAAGAGGATGTGCCTTGTCTCGCTGTGTGTTGGTACTAAGAGAGAGAGAGAGAGAGACAATCACACGGCCAGCCGGAGGAGATGGATGATGGCTTCTTGGATGAAGGAGCATCCTTGGCTGCCACTGTTGGTGGGCTATTGGACCTCAAGATAAGCCCTATCTGATGACGAGGGTAGCAGCATGGGATGAGATGCCGATGGTGGAAAGGAATTAAATTGTGCCTTATCTAGGTTTTGAGGGAATTTTAATTTGGGTTTGCTAGTTGCGGATGGCAATGGTATTTCATTAGTCAAAAGTAATCTTCCTATGTCTTGCGGTGAATCACCCCTGAAGTTAGTTCAGCAAACAAGTTTGAAATGTCGATCATAAATTCATCTTCCTGAATATTACATACGATTACAAATTCCAGAGAAAAAAAAATCCACACTTGACTGGGAATCAAATTTCCAGAATTGCCAACAGCTTCCGTTTGGCTGAATTCAATCGGTTGAGAAAACACACTTTCCCCCATCCCTATCGCATTTCCGTTCGATTTCCGCAATCCCATCCTCACGCAGATACACACCCGGAGGCAACTCGAATCGATACATAGGTAGATAAGCGTCTCAATTTGGAAGAAGCATCAGCGCCGAATTTTATGGCGTCTATTTGCCAATCCTAAACAGCACTCCATCACATACTTATGGAAATAAAAATCCACTCTTGTACAACTGCTGTTTACTTTATCGCCGTATATCTCCGTTCTGCTCCACATCTTGCGTTCGTCGCCCGATCCCAAAGCCGTGCGTATCGGAAAACTGAACTAACATTTTACCTCCTTTCTTACACGAGAAGAAGATTCCGCTGGCACCGATTTCCACGCGCCTCAATTTGACCTCATAAATCCTTATTTTTATTTTTATTGAACTTTTCCCATTCGCACAAGCACTTGTGCGCGCATTTTTACCATCACTACAATACTGGCAAGGCAAATTTCTATACCCTACATACATTTACAGAAGGGTTTGCCCCCGTTATATGCCTAGCCAGGAAAGGGAGAGAAAAGCCCTACGTCGTTCAAACTTTACACTTTCTGATTCGACTTTTTTCTGTTCGTTGTGAGTTGGTTGTTGCGATATCTTATTCTTTATTCACGATTCGTTTCGCTACATTAGTTGGACTGTAAAGGAAGCTGAAGGGGCTTTCGGTTCGGATCGGAGGCTTTTTGAAACAGGCCTCCAAACGGTTGGCAACGATGCACACAACTGGTACAATTTACCCGGGGAAAAATGTGAGTGGTACATGAAATTGGGGTTTGTTACAGTTTGAGCCATGTTACTTAATAAAGGAAACGAGAAGATACTGAAATTTTCATTTTATTTCACTACCTTAAGAGCTTATTCTTGACAGAGACGCGTATTTCGTCTAAATTTTTTTATTGTCATCATTCTTCAGTGTCTTGGTTCATTATAATTCAACCTATAAATCATTGTATTAAGGAATAAAAAAATATTACACCAAACAAGTTGGGACCCTCTTGTTTGTTTTGAAACCATCTACATACAAATCTACTGTTTTAAGCACTTAAAGGAACCTCAAACCCTTTTCTCTGAGTTGCTTCCATGTTTCGTCAAGTGAGTACAGAGTTAATGTAAAAAAAACGGCTATCACCCCTGGTAGACAAGTTCAGGAAAACTAATTTAAAAAAGTGTTTAAACTTCAATGGCTTGTTCAAATTTTCAGTCCCTAATAAACATGTTCAGTGATAAAACAAAAAAAAACAAAAATTAACATGTCAGGGAAAATTGCAAAACAAAATTAAATAGGAAATGGCTTGCGCCCTTTTGTATTATACTTCAGGGAATATATTAAAATTATCAACATGTCCAGGTTAAAAACAGATCAAAATCGTTAAATTTGAATTGACTTGCGCACCAAGTAAACATGATTACAGAAAAAAAAATTGGAAATCCTAGTGTCCCTGGTAAACAATTTCACGGAAATTTTTTTAAGAAAATGTTGAATTTAAAATGCTTTGGGTTTTTGATAGACCCCCTAACCATTCATTCAAGGCCACATGACCCCTACCGACATTAAATGAAGGGACTTCATATAAGCTTCGCCAAATTATTGGCACCGGTGGTGTAGTGGTAAGCGTGATTACCTATCACCCCAGCAGGCCTGGGTTCAACCCCAGTCGGCGCCGCCGGGATGTTCTGAGGCATAACATCTCTGATCACGCAAGGGAAGTAAAGCCGTTCGTCCCCGGTTCGTGAGTTGATGGGTCGATAAGTAGGGTCCAGGTGTGGGGGCTGCCTCCCTGGCGTCGGTAGCATTGGTGCTCAGCACGGAAAACAAATCAAAGAAAAAAAAAAGTGTCACCAAAATTATTAGTTTTGGGAACTTTGTTATGCCCGAGATTTCGCCCACGAATGTTCCGGATAATTTCTACACATGTTTCAAGTTTTTTCTTGAAATTTGAAGAAATTTAAGTATGATTTGAGATAGTTAACTAAGAAAGAAAAAATGAGTTGCTTGAAAAATGTTGACGGAACTGT